CATCCGCTGGAAAGGCTGCGGCTGAAGTCCTCGGGTTTAAAGGCTTTAAAGACATGCTGGCGCCCGGCGGAAGGCGCTTCCCGCGGTGTTTCCCGCTCCCTCATGTCTCGCCAGTGCTCATTTTGCTCACGTGTGGGTTGTGCGAAACTCCGCAGCCCCTGCAGACCCACGGAGCCCTTCTGTTCTCCTGTGGTATCGCGTAGGCAGCTCCAAACTACGGCCGGGAAACTTCTTGTTAGTACACCACGGACTTGTAAAGAACTTGTCACGCCTCTAGCATTACAGCAAGTGGTTCCAGAGGCCATGGAACTGACAGTATCTGGCGGCGTTCCCGTCCTGCCCAAATAACCTGTACCCAGGTAACAACCCCAAACCTCGGCTGCGTGCCATGCACAGCACCGAGCACCCTGTGCCAAGCGTGTTGGCTGGTGAGCTGCATGAACAAAAAGAGACATTAACGTCTGAGCTCGCAGGGAAGCAGCGCTGGATTGGGTATTTCCACTCGAGTGGATGTAATGCCTGCGAGACCTCTAGTTTCCATCAGATTTGGCTGAAATTTTTAAAATGAGCTAAAAGTCAGTGCGATATGGGCGGTATGACTGTGTAAACCTTGTTTTCCTAGGAAGCCAACTAAAAACATATAAAAGCTGAGAAAGACCTCTGAATGTGACTGTAAAGGTTTATAAGACATCTCCAGGAGGGTTAGGTGAATGGTACTCAATTATGGTAGGCTGAAGAGGCAGGTGTGAACTGGCTGGAAATACTTGAGGTACTGTAAGGAAATGTTTTATAAGCATATATACTGAAGTGTGGCCTCTGTTGAAGTGAGGGAAACTTAGTCATTAATTTAAATAGGACCAGGATTTCAGCCAAGACATTTGAAAAGCCAATGTATTTTAAATAAACTCGGCCTTAAGAACCAACTTCATGGAGAAAGAGTGACAAACCTGGCTGTATTCCAACAGAATTTTAAAGTAGGGAATTCCTGGCTGAGACTTTAACAACATTTGTACTATATACCTCTTACCAGAAGTTGGACCCACAGCCCCTGTTATGAAAAGCTGCTGCATTTTTCAAGTTATCGTTCTGTGGTGAAATATAATTACGTTTGACTGTTTCAACTGTTCTTCTGTACTCTTACAAAATATGAAAAGACAATATTCTAAGAAGAAATTTATGTGGCTGGAAAAGAAAAATGAGTATTTCATTCTGTGCTGCAATAATGTAACTTCTTGTTCTAGGAAATCTCCCCCGAGAGCAGGATTTTATAAAGTTTGCAAAGTCAAAATGAACAAGGGCGACTGGAAGTCTAGGCAATTGCTTACTTTCTTTAAAAAGTCCCAGCTGATACAGGTATTGGATGCGTGACTCAAGTTTGCTGCCAGTTCTCTGGCTTTATAATCAAATGGACCAATTTTAAAATGTTTTTTTTTCATGCTTTGCTGCATCAAATGGATATTGAAAATGAATAGTCAAAACAATGAACATTAAAAACTCAACTGGACAGGATCCTGTTCTTTGTCTTCAGCACACCTTCACATCTTAAAAGTCATAATATTTAATGGCCTTCACTTTCATTGTGGCCTCTTCTGAGCAACATGATAATAATTCTATAAATATTTCCTTTAAATTGTGTGTTGTTTTAGGAACAGCTGTAAATACCCAATGCAGTATGCTAGGATAGCTGCTGTGGTTTTTTCTGCAGAGCTGTGGCAACTTCTGATATCAAGAAGTATACACAAATTGTTAAATAATGAGTGTCTTCAGTGGATAACTTTCTGGCTTAGAGTCTAATAGAACACACTGAAGGCAAACAAGATGCTGTGCATAGCTCTTATTTTGGTTTTGTAGTTTTCAAGTTTGTAGATAGCAGGAGATGCACAGGGGAGTCTGTGGAATCAAGAGGATCCAAGTAAGAAAATGCCCAAACACATAGGAGGTTAGTAGACAAAGAAGCATCTTTACCTACACAAAAATAATATGGGAGCACATTCTTCATTTCCATGAGATCAGTTTCTTTATAGTAATAACATCTAAGAAAGCAGAAGGTATCTCCTTCCAGATAGATATGGATTGCGAGCAAAGGAAATACAGTGGAAGGCACAATGAATTCAAATTAAACAATCCATTTTTAGGCAAGAGACTAAGAGATGGTATCTTAAGTAGGCTATAGTTTAGTATGTACCAGTGCTTTCATCTTTCCTTAAGCTACAGAGGGAGCACTGGTAGCCATGAGCAAAGCAGCCAGATGGACAACGAAAAGACAGGCAAAATTGATTCACAGTGTCACAAACTCTTTAACCTGCATAATCCAGGGCAGGGTGGCGGACAGGGGAGGAAGAGAAGGATCAACAGACCTTATAGAACAGTTCACTCATCTGCCTCTCCATATTTTAAACACCAGCTTTCTAAAGCAAACTTATTCCATAGGGAAAAACATACTCCGTTTAGACTGAAATGGGGTAAAAAGGTGATCTAATGTCATCTGGAGAGTGGTGAATTTCGTATGAGGCTAAGAAATGTTCTCTGTCTTTTCTGGTAAGGGATTTTATTTAAAACCACAATGTCATGCACTGTGGCATTATGTAATTGCCTAACAAAAGCTATCAGATATAGGCACTGTTATTTTTATGTACATGTATACAAGTTCCGTAGTCAGTACAAACATATGTATGACACTGGTCCTTCTCTTTCTCTGTTTTTAATCTTCTCTCCCCCTGCCCCGAATGTACAAGTGCCCTGATCTGGCTTTTTTTCAGGTTTTGTGCTATATTTTCAAGGTTGCGCTAACTGTGTTTGTCATGGAATTCTCTCACACTTTGCATTTTGATTTTTTTATTTTTTTGATTGTGACAGAGGGACAGCCCGTGTTAAAAACCACAAAGTAACACCAATGAATTCAATAATTGGATTCTGAAGACACACAACAATATGGGTTTAATCACATTACTCAAAAAATTGAACATGTAGCCTTACCACAGGAATCCACTTGAGAAACTAATAGGGGTTTTTTGCCTTTTAGTGGAAAGAAAGTGAAGCTAATTCAAACCTGACTATTCAGATCTTGAAATTATTTCGAAGGAAAGCTGCCATCTTCCTGTCCATGTAAATCAACTTTGTCTTCTTGGAGAGTTGCTTATTTAATTCAGTCCAGAGTAAGTCTGACACAGCTGGAACAAGAAACCAGTCCTTGACTACACTGGAAGGATTTCCAACTGCCCAAAGAAATGCAGGTCAGAGATGATGTGGGCTATTTGGACTCTCAGCACAAGTCAGAGGATACTTTGGGATCATTGAGGTGAATGAGAGACCACCACCAGATCTGACTGACAAACAGAGAGTGCTTTAACTACCACAGCAAATATTCCTGTGAATTTTTTTTGTACTGGGTGTTTTTATGCTACAAGCTTAACTACTAAGGTGTCACTAGCTGAGAGGAGCAACAAATCTTTCTGAGGTATCAAGTCTGAAGGAGGCTGTGCTGTGAAGGCATTACTGGGATCTGTTCCAGGAAGTTTCTTCTACTGGGAGATATCTCCACATGGAGAGGCCTTTCCCTGCAGAGAATGGCTGCTTGTAGGGGAGAAAAGTGGTGCCACATTCAAAGTCGGGAGAGTCTCCTCAAAAACAACAAGCAGAGTGCCCAGGCCCGGGGAATGATTCCCTCACTGGCAGCACACTCCTGGCATTTGCCTGCAGCAATATGCAGCCTTCCCCGCTTCAAAATCCAGAGGAACCCTTACTCCTTAGAAAGTGTGTGCATGCCCATCGTGAATAAAAACACCTACTTCATAGGTTGCAAGTTATGGCATTTGAAATCTGTCATGCCTTGCATGAAGAGGAAACTCCTGAAATGAAGAGACTTTTCTGTCCAAAGGCATACCTCTAGCTATGTAATTAATGACTGATCAATGTTGAGTGCACCATGGGATGTAAAAAAAAAAAAAAAACGCTGACTGAACATGTTTGTTTCAGCCTTGCAGCCTAAGCAGCAAGAAAGAATTGCAGAGTTGTTTCTGTTCTCCTCTGCTTGGTTTATGGAGGGACATTGGAAGTGGTGACCTTGTTTCAAAGAAATGTTACCTCAAATGACTCCTCCTTACGTTATACAAGACATTAATGCATCAGAAGGAAAAGACACTTGCACAAGCATTCACTAAAGAGCTGTGTTGCACATCTGCATAAATGAACAAGCAGAGAAATCATCAAGAAAAATAAATTCTTACAGGTAACATGGTTCAGCTTCCCAGGGTCAGGAAATAGTCTTCCCGCAGCAGTCCAGATACCTTCAGCTTTAGAAAATCAAGAGTACTGACTAGATATCTCAGTAAAGCACACAAGGATGAGGAAGAATGAAAGAGATACTTTGACTTAACGGAAAAGATTAAAGTCTGCTAGGCAGGCAGCAGTAAAGCAGCACTGACAGGCACTTCACTAGAGACAATTCATAAAGCCAAGATTTGCTTCAAAAAAATGTGAAGAAGGAAGAACTTTATGCACGCACAAAACCAGTAAGAACAAAATCAGTCAGAGTCAACAAACGGAAACACACTGATCACATTTCCAGATTCAGTCTCAATTTTGTCATAAACCCATTTCCTATTGCAGCGACATTCTGCTCCACATTTGTTTGAATTGCATTTGGGGCAAGGATAGAAGCAGCCCAGGCAGCTCTTTTCCAGGCAATCACACAAATCGAAGTTATTACAAAGCAGCCTGCCATGTCTGTCGTACTTCTTCACAGTTCTGTGAAAGAGAAGAGTGATTTTCAGAGAATGCTCCAACATGTACAAAGACTAAACCAAACAAATGTGGAAAACATCTGCCCAGGAACAAATATTTTCTCTTTAACAACCTTACATAATGGAATACCAGCATCACATCCTAATTGCAACAGCCACTGTTATTAAAAATGAAGGTATGCCAAGGAAGTAAATCAAAACTCTCTCAAGTTACACAGAAAGCTTGTTTTCCCAACACAGCTTTCATGTGTAATAAGAAATTTCACTGCAAAATATTAATGGTTTTATTAGTTTAATTTGTATTCAGTAAAGAGCATACCAGCCTTTTTTTTAAAAGTAAAATATGTAATGAATTAGCACATCTTACTTGGGCTTCTTAAAAACATCTTTTTTCATCTGCGACATGCATGCTTTCTTTTTCAGCTCTCTAGTTTCAGGATTGAAGTCAGCTACCTGAGGTCCTGGATTTTGAAAGGCTAAGCATTTTAATTGTTTCTCAAGTTGCTGCTATAAATAAACAAGAGAAAGATTATAATTAGTGCAACAGATATTTATTAGCTGCCAAATGTCCTCACTGGCTTTCAAATTACATTAAAATTCATATTCTTGAGAACTTAAAACCACACAGGTAGGAAAATGAAGCAAAACTCCGCCTAAATTAAGATCACATTGTTTAAAATGTTTTCCTGTCTGTTAATTGAGTATTCCTTTGACTAGCTGTATATCCTGATGGGAGAAGAAAAAACGTGACTCTGCAAAAATGACTGGTACAGTCGCATGAAGTTTGAAAGTTGCTTTGTGGAAGACAGGATCTTGTATTTTATTTTTTTTTCAACTTTATCCATAATGTAAAGACAAGTATTTGTGATTATAAGCATCACAACTGGATTTGCCCATATCTTAACTGTTCTCTCAGATGCCTAGAAACTGTCTTTGTCCAAACAATCTGAAGGCCACGGAAATCACTGGTGGAGCAACTACTGCATGAAGGAAGCATTTGCACAAGTGAGGAGTATGAAAAAAAACACAGACAAAAAATAGGAAGCTAGACTGAGCAGAGATTTTGTGAAACAGGAGGGAGCATTTTCTTGCCTGTTTTATAGAATTCGTATTTGTAATTAGCTAGAACTGCGGAATAGTTCTGGAAGTTAGAACATCAGCTCTGTGTATTGCCATTCCACATAGCCAGTGTATGTTGGCAGTCATGTCCAAAGTCAATGCAAAGAAACATGGGCCTTATGTCAAACAGTTTCTCTTTGGACAATGACTGTGGACATCAAACATACACTTGTAATTCATTATGCAATTACACAAACATACATGCAGATTTATCTTTTCTCCTCTTAGATAAATGGAGCTGACTTGCCACCCATCAGCTTCCCTGGAGGGTGTCATCCCTTTCAGGGCCCACAGTGGTTTTTCACAAACAAGTGATCACCTTTGTTGCTTCTCATGGGGAAAACAGTGGCAATTCAGTCCAGTCTGCTAATACAGTGATTTAGAAATACCCATGCACTTCAGTGCACTTGTTTACAGCATAGTGGATGCCATGCGTCTTCAGTTGCATCTTTCTGAAAACCTATAGGGCAATCTCATGCACCTACACTATTCAGATATTTCGTTTGCTTTTGAGTCTGTGGGAGATCTTCAGTGCAGAAGATGTGCTTCAGCTTTATCACTGTCCATGATCATAAATCATGCAATTTTAAGTTGGAAACACATAATAAACTATGGAGATAGTCCTTCCTCAAAGAGTACTCTCTTATTTCCCCACCTACTATATTGAGCTTGGAAGCGTTCTTAGCCCTTTAACTCACTGCTCTGCAAAATTGACTCATTTCACTGTCGTTATTACTGATATTTCCCTATTGACTCCAGCTTTTTATTTTTGTAATTATGTAAGAAATTGAAGGCAATCAATATCTTGATAATGGTACTGAAGAAGTCATACCAATTGTTTTTGTGTTACTGAACCATCCTTCTCAGGAAGGACATTCCCTTCTGAAGATGTTTCCTGGGCAGAATTGTTTTTCTTGCAGTTTTCTTCTGTGAGATCACTCATTTGGCCACCCTTTTGAAATACATACATACGTGTGTTAAGACATACACAGAAGTGAGAGATCCACGGATTTTTAAGTCAAAGTTTTAAGGTAAGCTGGTGATATCCATACTAGGATTTTATGTATTCTTAACCAACAGCAAATGCAGAACAAATGTTGCTCAGTATCAGCCTCGATTTTAAAACTGTATTAAAATAACTAACATAACAAAAGTTGTATTACCAAAGCCATTCTACAATTCGTTAAGCAAACCTCTCTAGTGTTTAAATACCACAGAAACGGAAAGAAATGCTGTCACCTGTGATTCTGTAGCTGACACCGCTTCACTGCATTGCCAACTTTAATAAAAAGGCGAAAAGCGGTATTCTCACAGAACGCGTAACAGCAATCGGGGATGGGCGGTGGAAACGAAGACAGCAGCACACAGGAGCAGTTATTTCGCTTACCAGCAGGTGACACTGTTGTCCTAGCTGCCGTTCTTTCTGCAAGCCTCCGAAAAAGAGCGGCCGCGGTGGTGTTGGGGGAAGCGGGAGGGGTCTGGCCATATTCTCTAACATTATTTATAGACACACAAAGCGTGTGTGTCAGAGTTGTGTCCCTGGCAACGAGGCTGTTCCCTGCAGATTCACAATTTTCTTTCAACCAATGGGCTAAAAGTAAATTTCTTGGCTTTTACATCTCAGTCCTTAGCTTTCTGAAACATTTTGTGTATCAATAGAGTGTGTAAGTTCTAGGATTAACAGAAAAAAGTGAATCACTCTATTAACAAAGCACCCGGGGAGGACTCTGGGTTCTGCAACTCTGTCCTACAAATGCCATCCATCACCTCTCCCCCATCACACAAAATGGGGTCATAATTGTACCTACTTGTAACCCACCTTGTGAAGCTACTTAGTTAAAACTTTTTATGCAACATATGCAGTGCCAGTGCCTCAGACTTTAACCCCAAACACCACCAGAAATATTTAAGCCTTCAACCCTTCCCCAGGTGCTGCTCAGTCGCTCCCACTGCCTCTGAAAGGTAGCGCAGTTGTCTCTGCCAGGTTACCCTAGCTTTAGGATTGTTACCCAAACACTGTCCCAAAGATGGTCTTCATTTCGCCACTGCCAAAGGACCAGCACCTCTCTGAGAGAAGCAGGAGAGGAGTCCAGGCCATTGGTTTCCTCTGTTGCGGCCCCTCCCTGCAAGGTGCCAGTCAAAGTGGGAACAGCAATGAGAAAAGACCTCGTAGTAACAGGAGGGGACCCTTTTTTGAGAGGTGAAGACTTTCAGCCTGTTTCAGATGGGGTTTCCCTTTCTCCTCTTCAGTGACTTCAAGAATGACTGAAGATTATGACACTGTAACAGTTTAGTCCTGGGACTTGAGCATCTTTCTATGAAAGGATTATGAAAGGAAAGCTATTACCATGCAATTTGTATTTGCTGCATGGGAGAGCCTGCATTCCCACTAGAAATTTGCTAGGAGCCCACAAATAAAGAACAAAAGCCACTGCTCCAGAGAAAGTGAGTATTGCTTTTCATTTCCACTCAAGTTGGAGCCCTGATAAGGATTTGCTTCCTACATCTCCTTCTATGCCCAAACCATACATCCAGCATTGTTAAAGCACTGCATGAGTGAGTACGCATGACCACCATCCACACCTGTTTTATTATAGTGTACAGGGTTCAGGAGCAGAACTGCCATCAGGAGCTACCCATGTAAGCATGCAGAATTTCCTTGTGTCCTCCGGTGGTGTTAAGTGTTAGACTCCTTTGGCAACTAGGTCCAGATAACTAGCAGTTATCTGGAGCCAAATGCACAAAATCAGAAGCCACTTTTTAAATACTGACAGAAAAGGGATAAGCATCTTGTTCCAAACATGTGTTTCAAATGCCCTTGCACCTCAGTGGAAATGCCCTGCACAGAAAATTTGGCACATTTCTGTCTCCATCTATATTGTAAAGATAAAGTGTTAAATTTTAATCTCCAGGAAAGATACTCAAAAATGAGGCAGAGTGAGACTAGGAAACCGTGCAACATTCAGGAATTGGTGAGACTCACAGAACTGATCATGCTCCACAGCATGTTCTGAAGGGGAATAAGAGAACAAGGGAGACTGAGACATACACACCCACTCTCAAGTCTGCAAAACCTTATTATCCAAAGGAAAGTATTCTTGGCCCTGAAGCAGAGTTTTTTCATCTATTATTTTTGTCTGGCTTTAGTGATAATTCAGGAGCAATGCATTGATGCATAGCCTCTTCCATAAAGATTTCAACTCTGCAGACAACCATCAATAGCACTATTCCTCCACAAAACCTTGTGTTCTCCCACACCTTCTGAATACAGCACGTACTTCCTCGAGGCAATAATCCACATTTTAACACCCCCACCGTGGCCATAGTGTATGTCTGAGAACTCGCAATTTCAGCACAGACCTTTGGCACAGCTGAGAAGGCTAAAAGCAGATTAAGGGAGGAAGAGAATCAGAGCCTGTATTGTATTAAAAGAGACTTGGTCTTATCCAAGAGACATGTTTCTGCTCAGAGGAGAGTTTCAGAAGATGCTGGGATTTGGAAGGAACAGCATTTGTTTATGATTTTCATAAGAGGAATATTTTTCTGTATCTGTTCTTTCAAGAATTTACTATTCCTATTATGATCCTTGCAGATTGTACTGCTAAATATTTCAGCTGGTGTGAAATGTGGTGACCAGCATTACAGATACTTCTGGCTGCTTGATCTCAGCAGCCTAAAGCTAGAATCTCTGCAGAGCTTGCCAGAGTGAATGCACATTGTTTTCAAGTTATGTTTGTTCATCCCATTGCAGACTTTCTGGCTGAGATCTGTAAGTATGTTCATCACCTTCACCAGGGCAGAACAAGATGCTGTCCCTCCTTTAATAGCTTTAATCCCCCTATGCCCGCACGGATTAGACTGACCCATTGCAACAGTCCCATCTTCCTCATAGCCTAGTTCCGCAGAGATGTCAGTGGGCTCAGAAACCAGCAGTCAGGCTTGTGACACATTCCATTATGCATCTTGAAATCTCTATAGGACATCTCGTGCCAGCCAAATTAAGACTGAGAATAAATTAATCTTTCTCAGGATGAAGTATGGACTGAGCTGCAAAGATGTGGAAAGGCCACTTAACAACTAGTCCATGCCTTCTCTCATAGCCTTAAATGTGCATATGTGATCAGAAGATGGCCTTGAAGCCAGTTGGAGACACAGACAAGACGACGAAATAGGTCTTATCTCTTTAACTCAGATTGTTTCACAGAATACTGACAAACATGGTGACAGAGCAATGGCCCATTCTGTGGCAGGAGTCTGGAGGAACAAACCCTGCCCTCTCTCAGTAAAATAAAACAAATCCTCATGAGTTTTCCCTCCCAAACCCAGAGCTTTTCTGCCATATCTGGAAGTGAGGGATTCTTTAGCTGAAATCTCAGATAAGTATAAAATCATGTGTGTCTTCTGGTTGTCATGCAATAGGAAGAAGAGATCTGCCAGACTCACCTTCTGAAAACCTGCAGTTCTGAAGGGCTTATGTTCAGTTCAGGGCAGACAGCAAGAGAGAAAGGAGGTTCTCCAGAATTTTAAATCGTAGTTGCCAAAGGAAGGGGCTGGCACAGTGCAGGTTTACTGCTGCACAGTTCCTCTGGTAGTGGAAGTATGACACCAGCCCTAGAGCAACTGAAACAGAAGACAAATAATCAAAATAGCACTCCCCAGAGAAGCAGGCTGGAAACAGTGCCAGGTAACTATCTTAAAGGACCTCACACTTTCTGCCTCATTAATTGTGACTTTAAAATAGTACAAAGAGTAGAAACAGAGAAATTATATAAAATGGGGTAAGAGTTCTCCCTTATTACTTGCACCTGTGGTATGTTTACAGAGCAAATGTATTTCTTAGAGGCTTGTTTGGGGTTTTTTTCCTTAAAGGTAAGTAAACAGGGGAAAGAAAAAAAAAAAAAGCTCTCATAACTACTGCATTTTACAAAAATGGTTTTGGTGTGTTTTTTTTTAATTTATAATAGCATGGATGTAGTGAAGGAATATTTTACCACATCAGACAAATGTTTTGGATTCTGTTCACCATATCCAACCATCTCCTAGCTAAAGCGACCATGCAGCCTCACCATTCAGCTCATTGTCTTTCAGGATTGTTGCACCAGTGCGGACAACTCAGGCTCCTCCTGATACTTCCAGATGTCAGTTTCCAGCATGCTGCAATCACTTACGGCTTTCATTACTCTTTAGAACACAGCTATATCTTAATAAACATCCTGTCATGGTTTAAGCCCAGCTGGTAACTCAGCACCACACCCCCGTTCGCTCACTCCCTTCTTTCCCCGCTGCTCCGGGCGGGATGGGGAGGAGAATCAAAAGAATGTAAACCCCACAGGTTAAGGTAAGAACAGTCCAGTAACTGAAGTATAATATAAAACTCTACTACTAATAATAATAATAAGGGAAATAACAAGGGGAGAGAATATAAAACTAAAAAGG